CTTTTTTTTTTTTTTTTTTTTTTTTTTTTTTGGCGATACCAGGAATTAAACTCAGCACCTTGCACTTGACAGGCAGGCACACCACCACCAAGCCACATCCCCAGCCCTAAAAAATACTATTCTTTAAATAGCTCCTCAAAAATTAACAAAGTTGCCTCCTCCAAAAAGGACAGGACACTTCTACTAAATTAAATGTCCTAAGTGAAATGCTGATAAGCTTAAGGAATTATTCCATTCTAAAACACTGCTAGATCATATTGTACACCTAACTGGTAATATAATTCATAACAACTTAAAACTTGTTAGAAGAATGAATTGATATTAATCACTGATTTCACAGCCGGAAACCTATAGACCAAATTCCATGTTAGTAAAATAAACCTTGCAATTTTTATCTGCAACTGTTATAGACTTGTCTCATATTTCTAAAACCACCATAAACAATTCCCAAGCACAAGGTCCCAAGTTCCATCCAAAAATAAAAACGAAGGGCTGGGGATGTAGCTCAGTGAAAAGGCCTTGGGTTCAGTTCCTAGTACTGTTCAAAAAGAAAGTGAAAGAAACCAATTATAAATATGCTCAAGGATTTAAAAGAATTACAGAATAAACAGATGGAGAAGTTTCACCAAAGGGAAACTAAAAAATAACCAAACAGGAATCAGAAATGAAACATTCAATGAATGGGCTTAGCAATCAATTTAAGCCAAAAGACAGTGAATTTGAGAGAATACTAACAGAAACTATTCAAGTGAAACTTTTAAAATTTAGAAAAAAGCGAACAAAACTTTAGTAAGCTATAATATAATGTCATATAAACCACATAAGTAGAGTCCCAGAAGCAGAGAATGAATATGTATTTAATTAATGGTTAAACCAAGTTTGGTGTAATCCCAGCATTTAGTAGACTGAGGCAGGAGAACCATCAGTCTGGGCAATTTAGCGACTTAGTAAGACCCTATCTCTAAATAAACAATAAAAATAAAGTTTGGGGATGTAGCTCACTCAGCACAAAGGCCCTGAGTTCAGTTCACAGCATTCCAAAAAATCACATACTTAAATATAAAGACACAGGTTTTAAAAAAGGATTTTAAAAATCATGGAAACTGTACGCATGGTAAAGCTGATACTGATATATCAATATCTGAAAAAGAGGGCTTCAAGAAAGATAAAGTTAAAAAATAAATAAAAGAAAGACAAGAAGTACCAGCAGAGAGAAAATTGATAATATGTAAAAACTGGAAAAAAAAAATCTCAAAAATTTTCAAAACTATTAAAATCTTACAGATTATACTGGCATTTACAATGGAATTAAGTCAGAATATTTCATAAGGTACCTATATTTAGAAATGAAACAAATGATGGGTCAAGAAAGAAGTTAAAAGGGAAACTAGAACAACATATCAAAATTTGTGGAATCAGTTAAAACAATGTTTAAAAGGAAATGTACAGCTTTAAATATCTACCTTTTTAAAAAATGAATGCTTTAAAACCAGTATTAGAAAGATTTATTTTAAGAAGTAGAAAAACAAAAGATTCAAGCACAAAGTAAATAGAAGTACTAAGGAGTCAGACCCTATCTCAAAAAACTAAAAAGGGCTGGCAACGTAGCTCAACAGTAGAGCATCCCAGAGCTCAATCCTCACCATCACACACACAAAAAGCTAACAGCGACATTAACAAAAGTTGGTTCATTAGAAAGATTTTGAGGTTAGTATAAGTGCCCCCAAAACAAAAATTTTAAAAGAAGTTTATAAACCCTTAGCTAGATATATATGAAAAAATAATGACAAAATAAATTATCAAAGGGCCCAGGGATTTAGCTCAGTGGCACTGCACCTGCCTCACAAGCACAAGGTCCTGTGTTCAATCCCTGGTACCAAATAAAAATTATCTGAGAGTTATCATTATTGATCCTATAAACATTAAAATGATCATTTAAGAGCCAGGGATTTAGCTCAGTGGTTCTACCACCTGCCTCAAAAGTGCAAGGTCCTGAGTTCGACCGCCAGTACCCCAAAAAAAGATAATTAAATTAAATTTAACAGCTTAGCATCAAAATTGACACAAGAAGAAACTGAAAATCTGGTCTTGTTTTTTTGAAATGGAGGTCTCTCTGTCTTTTTCAGGCTGGCCTCGAACTCCTGGGCTCAAGCAATCCTTGTGCTTTAGCCTACAAACTAGCAGGAACCACAGGTACATGACACAGCACCTCGCTGAAGCTAAAGGCCTGAATGCCCCTATTTATATTTTTTAAATTGAAATTGTAATCTAAACTCTTCTTACAAAAAAAATTATCAGACTAGATGGTTTTAATAGAGAGTTCTATCAAACTTCAAAGGAGAAATAGTACTAATCTTAAATTAAAAATCCAAAGAATGAACACTCCAATGCATTTTCTATGATCAAAAATCTTCACACCAGGGCCAGGGATTTAGCTCAGTGGTGCCACCACCTGCCTCACAAAGCGCAAGGTCCCAAATTTGATCCCCAGTACTCTGCCCCCAAAAAAATCTTCATACCAAAACAGGTCAAAGATATTAAAAGAAAATTACAGGTTCTTCAACTTCAATGTTTGGAGAACTGCATTTTTGGACCCCAATGCAAAGAGCTGTTAAAAGGCCACCAAGCACAAGGACCCAAGTTCAATCCCAGTACAAAAAAAACAAAAGGTTGTCAAGACCACATAGAGGGATTGTGCAGCATTCCATTTAAAGGAAGCACATAAGCAGGACTGGTTACAAAATAAAATTCCCAGAGTAAATGGAAAATAAGAAATTCTCACAGAATGCAGAGGAAAAGGCCAAAGAAATTAAGATGAGAAAAGAAGAAACGAAGGAGAAATGTAGAGGGACTCTCTTAGGACATGCAATCTATGTGTAATAAGAATACCTGAAACAGAGGACAATGCAAATAAAGCTGAAGCAATAATTATGGAACCGGGGCCGGGAATTTAGCTCAGCAGTTCAGTGGCCTGCCTTACAAGCACAAGGACCTGAGTTCAATCCCTGGTACCAAAAAAAAAAAAAAAATATGGAACCAATTGAAGAAAACTTTCCAGGTTGAAGAATGAAGTAGGCCCACAAATGAAGAGGGCTCACAGGGTACTTTTAAATTTTAATGAAAAGACAGCAACATATAGACATACCCTTGTAACTTTAAAATTTTAAAGATTTTTTTAAAATTTTTTTGCAAATAAAAGACTGAACTCAGATTTTCCTCTTACTATTCTAAATACCAGAAGACAATGGAACATCTAAAGAGTTTTAAGAGAAAATAATTCTGAACCAAGAATTATACATTCTGCCAAGTTAGTATTTGTATATGAAGGCAACTGGAAGTCATTGTCAGATACCAACAGGTTAAGAAACTACATCAACCAAGAATCTTCTCTGAAAGTTTTGCTGATTTAATGTAGCCAACAGAAAAAGTAAAATGTATACGGAGATGACTATATGGAAGATGTGATGGTTAAAACTAAGAACATAAAGCCTATAATTGTTACATCCAAGATAATAAACCTAAATGCAAAGTAGATTTGTAAGCTAGACCTAAAATTTTCAGTTTATGTAGTTTTAAATTGTCAAAGTACATGTCAAATATTCAGTGTATTGGGCAAATAAACACTTATATTTTAAAAATAGAAAAACAATTACAAAGTCTAGGGGTGTGGCACAATGGCAATACCAATATGTAAGAATGCAAGTAGCCCAGAGCTTATTCCCCAACACTTTTATTTAAAAGAAAATGTAAAATTACAAACCAATATCCCTCATGAACAAAGTCATTAAAAACCCTCAAGAAAAGAGACCAAAATTCAGAAACATAAAAAGAATATAGTGGGCCGAGGATTACTTCAGTGACACCATGCCTGCCTTGAAAGTGCAAGGTCCTGAGTTTGATCCCCAGTACCAAAGAATATAATATAAGCAAGCAAAGATGATCCCAGGAAAACAGGGTTAGTTCAACATTTGAAAAATCAACGTGATGTAATACAACCCATGTTCACTTTTCTACATTTTTCCCAAAGACCTGCTGAATCTACACCAACCTTTTGAGCAAAGAGTCTGAATGACTTCTGAGAAAAATACTCCAGTGACAAAATTATTATTAACTACTCAAATTATAGATGTTCAATTTCTAGTCTTCACAATACTTAAACATTTTGTTTTTATCAGAGATCAACTCTGCAAAGTGAACATAAAGAACATAAGCAGTCAGGGCCTGGGATTTAGCTCAGTGGTTCTACCTCCTGCCTTGTAAGCGCAAGGACCCGAGTGTGATTCCCATTACCAAAAAAGAAAAAAGAAAAAAAAAGCAGTTTTTCATATGTGGTAGAAATAAAATGTAAGTAAGGCTACTTCATCATACTGTGCAATGCCTACGTCCCCAGGCAATCAATCGTGCCCAGTATAGTTCTAAAAAGGAAAAAACATTGTCTTCCCTATTTCTTATTACTAACATAATAAACAGGATAGGGTAGAAAATGAAGGGGAAGCCCACAGTTGAGTAAAGATCTTACTATGCATTAAGAATGCACTATGGAGGCTGGGAATTTAGCTTAGTGGTTCTACTGCTTGCCTCACAAGCACAAGGACCAGGGTTCAATCCCCAGTACCAAAAAAAAAGAAAAGAAAAGAAAAAGAATGCACTATGGCATGGCAATTTAGTGTGATAGCAGTCAGGTGCACTCCAACCCAGGAAACTAGTAGAAGTCTCTCAGCAAAGACACAGGAAAAGCTCAAGTTCTCAAGCATATTCCAGATGTAATGCTACCACTGCTGTTAATCCTCCCAGGGCCTGCCCAAAGGACAGCAACAGCTAGTTCAGCTGTGGATAACTTAGAATTAGTCTCTTTATGCCATTCTAAAAATTCAGGAGAACAATGGCACACAACAGTAAAAAAAAAAGGACTGTAATTTAAATAAAGGTTAAAGGGCCGGGGATTTAGCTCAGCGGTTCGGTGGCCTGCCTTGCAAGTGCAAGGACCCAAGTTCAATCCCCAGTACAAATAAATAAATAAACAAACAAACAAATAAATGTATGCATTATGTATGTATGTTAAAAAAAAAATAAGCCAAGAGTCATGGCAAACATCTGTAATCCAAGAACTGAAGAGATTTAGGCAAGATGATCCCAAGTTTGAGTCCTGCCAGGGCAAATGAGAGAGACACTATCTCAAAATTTAAAAAACTTACTTTCTTTTTCTTTCATTCTTTCTTGCTTTCATTTTACTTTTTTTGGTACTGGAAATCAAACTCCAGTCCTTGTGTTTGTGAGCCAGGTGACAGAACAACTGAGTTAAATCCCCAGACCTAAAAAACTTTAAAAAGCACTCAGAAAATAAATAAATAAAAATTTTAAAGTGCCCTAGTACAACACTAGAAAAAAAGGAAGGGGATAGTATGTACCTGCAATCCAGTAGGCTAAGACAGAAAGATCACAACTTCAAGGCCAGCCTGAACAATTTAGCAGGACATTATCTCAAGTATTTTTTTAAGAAGAGCTAGGAGCCGGGCATGGTGATACACATCTGTAATCCCAACATTTGGGAGGCTGAGGCAAGAGGACTGCCACAAGTTCGAGGCCAACCTAGGCTTCACAATGAGTTCAAGGCCAATCTGAACTACATAGTGAAATTTTAAAAAAAAAAAAAAAAAAGAGCTAGGGACCAGGCCTGGTGGCACACACTTCTAATACTATGCTAGTACTCTGGGAGGCTGAGGAAGAAAGGAATGAAAATTCAAGCCCAGCCTAGGCAATTTAATGACTAGGCAAGATCCTATCTCAAAATAAAAAATAAAAGAAAGGACTGGGATGTAGCTCAGTGCTAAGACCCTAGCTTCAGTCCTCAATACTACAAAAAAAGAAGCAGAGGCGCACAGTACCAGGGATTTAGCCCAGTGGTTCCACCACCTGCCTCACAAGCACAAGGTCCTAAGTTCAATCCCTCATACAAAGGGGGGGGGGTGTTGGAAAAATGAATCAGTGGTAGAGTGCTTGTCTAGCATGTATTATGCTTACTCCAATCTCCAATATTCACCCACCACCCCCCAAATAATATTAGCAACATTTGGTCTCTTTTCAATCAACAAATGGGATGAGATTACTTTACCTTAATTTCTATCCTTGCTCTGTGAGGAAAAAGTTGTCCAATCATAGAAAAGTCAGTTCCTACCATGCTGATGGCTAGAAAGAACATATCTGTTTCTGTAAAAATAAGATTTAGAATCATTGAAAATTAATCTCTTTGAGGGAAGAAATCTTACATAAGTATATATGAAGTTAGAAATTTCACAGTACTTAATTTTACTACAAAAAACTTCATAGAATATCTTAAAACATTTCAGTGTAGTATAAGACATTTTCATGCTCAAATCAAGAGCCAGAATTTATTAAAAAGACTTTCTGTTATCTAGTCTTATTCAAAATGCCTAGAAAATTGTCAGTAATTGCAATTATACCATTATACACACAATTGAGATGTGCTAAGTAGTATAAAAAAAAGTAGCTAGAAAATACCTAAGAAACTTATAAAGTTATCTCAGAAGAACAGAATTGGAGCTGGACGTGGTGGCTCACGCCTGTAGTCCCAGCACTCGGGAGGCTGAGACAGGAGGATCACTATGAGTTCGAGACCAGCCTGGGCTACATAGTGAGTTCCAGGTCAGTCTCAACTACATAATGAGACCCTGTCTCAAAAAAAAAAAAAAAAAAAGAAGAACAGAATTGGTGGAGTCAGAGAATTACTATAGAATTTTTTTTTTTTTGCTTTATATTCTTCTGTCATTTGAATTTTTTTCCAAAATGTCATTTTCTATTATAAAAGGTAAGTGATACTGCCATGCAAAGTTATTGTATACTTTTTCTAGGCATCATTTTATCTATAGAAACTTTATTATACAATACTGTTTTTTTGTTTGGTTTTGGTTTTGGTTTTTGAGACAGGGTCTCACTATGTAGTTGAGACTGACCTGGAACTCACTGTGTAGCCCAGGCTGGTCTCGAACTCACAGCGATCCTCCCGCCTCAGCCTCCCCAGTGCTGGGATTACAGGCATGTGCCACCACGCCCATCTTACAATACTAACTGAAGTAGAACATTATGACCATTAGAAATTATTGTTAATTTTTCATTTAAATGGTTTGCTTGATAGAACTCAGGACCTTGCACTTGCGAGGCAAGTGGCAGAACCACTGAGCTAAATCCCCAGACCTTACTTAGTAGGACTTGAAAGGAAAATTACAGCCGAAAATGACCAAAGAGCTAATGCGCAAAGATTGTTTTTATTAGTATATTTGCAGTACATAATGATAACATTCATTGTGTAGAGTTGGTATGAGTACATAACATATCTTAATTCCTTTTTCATCATCATCCCCTCTGTTCCCTCACCTTCCCTTCTCTAAGATAAAATCAAGAGACACACAGTACCACAGTGGGGGCAGGAAGAGGTGCCAATAAAATTAGCTAGAAAGAAACTACAGTACTTTACATTTATTTGATTAGGAAGAACCTGATTTAAGTCAGAAAAATAAAGCAATTAATTTCAAATAAATAACTTACACAATTTTTAATGAAAATTAGTTACCTTTATTTGACCACGGTTTAGAATAATAGTTTTTTCTAAAGCTGGAATATGTAGTTGTAGAACCACACTCAAATATAGGATCATTTTCCTCAACAACACATGGGCCTTTTGTCCTTAAAACTTCCACAGTTAAACTGAAAGAAACACATTTTCAAATACATCCACAGTAAAAACAAATAATAAATGGTAAACAGTTATTTTTAAAACTTCCCATAGTAGTTTTATCAAAAGTATAATGCATATTTTTTAAACAGTAATACACATCTGAAATGTGCACACTTGCCAAGTACCTACTAATTTTCACTTAAAATGTAATTCCTTGTTTTCAAAACCCATAAAAATCAATACAAAATATCTTCAGAGTACCTAAAATATTTATTCCATCAACTCTAGACATTTAGTATTATCATGATGTGAGACACAATGGGAACACTGAGAGACATAGCATGTCATGTAAAAAACAAAAGGCAATTTGTCTATAGTACCCAGAATCAAGTCTAGGGCCACTCTATCACTAAGCTACATCCTCAGCACTTTTTCTCTTTTCTTCTGAGACAGGGCGTAAGTGGTCCAGATGAGAGTTGAACTTGTGATCTTCCAGCCTCAGCCTCCCAAAGTGCTGAGACTGTAGGTATGAGCGACAGCGCTCAGCAATCCATATTTATATTTTACATTTTGGCAGTCAAAGCAATGAAATATGTTTTTAACTATTTAAAAATCAGTAAAATTTATTATCACAGACTAATGAAAAACAATATACAAAAACAATTAAGGGCTGGGGATTTAGTTCATTAGTATCACACCTGCCTTGCAAGCACAAGGTCCTGAATTTAATCCCTGATACCAAAAAAAAAAAAAAAATTATTAGCAATATTTCACTTATGTTTCATTATCATAAAATTTAAATGCTTAAGAGCCAAGTGTGGTGGCGCATGCCTGTAATCCCAGCACTCGGGAGGCTGAGGCAGGAGGATCACTGTGTTTGAGATCAGCCTGGGATACATAATGAGTTTCAGGTCACTCTCAACTACACAGTGAGACCCTGTCTCAAAAAACAAACAAGAAAATAGTTTAAATGCTTAAATAGTTTTACTAATTTAACACATTCATGACAGAACCATAATTCATTATATGTCTCACTGCCAGGCTGCTTGAAACCACTGGGGATACATGCATGACTGTTTCTTTGGGCAACTTTTTATTAATTTTATTAGTGAAAAGACCCACTAAAATGATTAAATCCACTTATACCACCAGTGGCACAAGCTGCCCAATGAAGCCAGCAGGAAAATGTTAAAACTATCAAAATCACTTTAGGGCCAAGGATTTAGCTCAGTGACGCCTCACCCTGAGTTTGATCCTGGGTACAGAGAAGAAAAAAAAAAATACACTTTAAACTGGGTACAGTGACATGGATCTGTAGTCCCCACTACCTGGGAAGCCTAGCTGAGACAAGAGGATCACAAGTTTGAAGACTGCCCAGGCAATTTAGCAGGATTCTAAGTCAAAACTAAATTTTTAAAAATTTTTTAAAAGCGGCTAGGGATGTAGCTCATTGGTAGAATGCTTGCTTAGCTATGCAGGACCCTGCATTCAATCCCCAATATAAAAACAATAGTGACAACAACAAAAGACTTTCTATTCCTTTTTTATTTTTTTCTGGTCTTTTGAGATACGGTCTCACTGTGTACTTTAGGCTGGCTTTGAAATCACTATGTAGCCCAGGCTCGCCTCAAACTCACCCCAATCTTTCTGCCTCAGCCTCCCAAGTGCTGGGATTACAGGTATGTGTCACCATGCCTGCCATTCCTCTTTATTTACATATAAATTTATCTTGTTTTTTAAAAAAATATACATAGAAAGACAACTACATTCCACAATGCCAAATATAAGGAATTTGTTATAACGTAACAAATTAAATCAGAAGTAAATTAAACCTTACCATAATAAAAATCATAAAATATGATAAGCCTATGTTTCATTATACACCCACTAGTTTTCACTGCACATGAGAATATGGCATCAGTTAAAATGAAAATTTGAATACTGACTCCAAAACTGAGTCCACCCTAAAAATCTATTCTCAGCGGAGAACAACATGTGGCTAGCTCAATAGTGAGACTCAATTATCAGTTAAACAATAGTGTTATGGGCCAGGGGTTTAGCTCAGTGGTGCCACACTTGCCTAGTAAGTGCGATCCTGAGTTCGATTCCCAGTGCAGGGTGGGGGGTGAACAATGGTGTTAGGTTCATGGATGAGAGGTCAGCAGTATCATCTTTTCATACAAAACACATAACTGCTAAAAATTATAAATTAATCTAGGCTACTTTACTGTTTACAACATTCATGATACAAATATTTACAATGGGATCTAGGGCCAGGGATTTGGCTCAGTGGTTTCACTGTCTACCTTGCAAGCACAAGAACCTGAGTTCAATCCCCAGTACCACCAAAAAAAAAAATACAGTGGGGTCTAAATGATAATGACAAGTTCAGACACTGGATCTCAGACAAGGCATGCTTATTTTCATGAAAGCACAACCCCTCTGTTTCACTATCACTGTCTCTGCCCACCCCCTCCCCTCTTCTCTCTTACCTTTCTTCATCCAAAATAATAGAACCATCTTCAGCCACTTTCACTCGAGGAACCAGCAATGGCCCATCATCTGTCTCTTCTTCTGCAGCTTCATTATCTTCAGCATCAAGAGCACCCTTACTTTCTTGCCTAATAAACAGAAAGACAAGTTAATTCCTACAAGGATGAGATGTGTTTCTGGGTGCTACAAGCTCAGTGGTACAGTGTATGCTTCAGCATGTACATGGCCCAGGTTCTATTCCCAACACCAAAAAAAACAATAAAAAAAAAATCTCAATGCAATATGCTAGTACATGTCTTAAATGACTATTAATTTAGACTATTTACCCACTCCACCTTGCTTTTTTTTCCTGACAATGATACCCAGCACACAAACACAAAAGTTTCCTGAGTAGTAAATAAATACATATTTAACCTTCAGCTATTTCCAACTTTCCTTATAACCTAACTGAAAATACTATGTGTTGTTGAGGAGACATCTAGAAGATTTTCTCAAAAATTTTTTGGTGACATTTAGTAAAAAACTTTCACAGTCTTAAAGAGATGGGGCTGGTTTGGTGACCTGCCTTGCAAGCGCATGGACCTGAGTTCGATCCCTGGTACCACAAAAAAAAAAAAAAAAGAAAAGAAATGGGGCTGGAGTTGTAGCTAAGTGGTAAAACACTTGCCTGGCATACACAAGGCCTTGGGTTTGATCTTCAGCATTAGACAAGATAAAAAAATAAAACTAAACTAAAATGTTCATCTTTTCTACCTCAATATACTATTGGGAACTGGGGATTTACCTCAGTGGTTCCGCCGCCTGCTTCGCAAGCACAAGGACCCAAGTTCGATCCCCAGTACCAAAAAATATATATACACTTTTAAAGCAAACCATCCATTATTATGAAATCAACAATAATAATCCTTACAGTTTCCTAGCACTGGTTTCCAGATCATTTTATTAACTCTTCCAAACAACCCTTCAGGATAAGAATCATAATTCATTTGGGCCTTAGAGAACATGAGTAACCTTTACTCTAGACTACACAACAGAGCAAAAAGCCAAAGAGTTTTTTTTTTTTTCCATTTAAAGAAGAGTATTTGTATACTTGTTAGATTTATTAACTGACTCAGAAAAACATGAAAATTATACATATTAATGAAGTGTTATGTTTTTTTTGTTGTTTTTGGTTTTTTTTTTGGTACCGGGGATTGAACTCAGGTCTTTGCACTTGCAAGGCAGGCAGCAGAACCACTAAGCTAAATCCCTGGCCCTATGGTTTTGATACATATATACAGCATGTAATGTTTTAATCAAGTTAAACATATCCATTCTCTCAAATATTTATCATTGCTTTATTGTGAAAACATTCAAAATCTTTCTTCTAGCTTTTCAAAACTATACAATTCATAATTTTTCTCTAGTTACCCTACTGTACAACAGCACACCAGAAATTCTTGCTAACTATAACTTAAGTTTTTCAAAAACTGACTCAAAAAAAAAATTCACTCCAAATCCAGTATATTTTCTACTCTACTATACTGTCTGCTTGAAGTTTGTCTTTTGGGATTTTTGTCAGGGGAAGTGGTTTTTACAAGACAGGGTCTAGGCTAGCCTAGGCTGACCTCATTCCTGAAATTTTTCCTTAGCGAGTTCTGGAATTACAGGTGTGTACCATCATGCAAGGCTGCCTGCTTAAGTTTTACTGAAGCAAATATAACTACTGTGAATCATAAGCTATCTTTAAAATTCAGAGTTTTGCTTTAAAATAGAATGCGGATCCTAGGCAAATGGTAAGAACTGCTTGACCCGTAAAATGACAGCCCAAAGAGTCCCAATGTTTCCACTAAGTTTCTACTTTCTACTAATCCCCACTTTGAAATGCTGTACAAGGCTATAATAACTTCCCAGGAGGTCTCACGGTGGGATTTGCTGAGAGTAAGCTAACTTATGACAGCTAGGATGTAGAAGGCCTATGGAGAACAAAAACTGTGAACACATCTAGTGGCATCAAGACTAGACCTGTGGAAGTGCAAGGACCCGAGTTCAATCCCTGGTACCAAAAAAAAAAAAAAAAAAAAAAAAAAAAAAAAAGACTAGACCTGTGTGTGGGCCAGGGATTTAGCTCAGTGGCACCATGCCTGCCTCCCACATGCAAGGCCCTGAATTCAACTCCCAGTACCAAAAAAACCAAAAGACTTAAAAAGACTAGACCTGTGGGAGAACAGTACATGCAGCCTGCTAACTCTGATATCTAAAACAAAGGAAAAAAATACACATTTGCTTGAGCGTATACAGACAAGAATCAGAATGCTACATTTAAAACAAAAAACCAAAAAGATAACATTTGTTGCCTCCAGGTAACAGAAAAGCAAATGCAATGCGGAAAACTTTTTCCAGTATTCCTTTTGATCCTCTCAAATTCTGGACATGTAAATATATTGTTTTCCTAAAACAAAACAAAAACCTTCTACTTCTAAATGCTGGGGATTTAGCTCAGTCATTTTGCAGCCTGCCTCACAAGCACAAGGTCCCAAATTCAATCCCCAGTACCAAAAATAAAACTAAGTTAAATCATAATTTTGGTCAGTTATGTATTGCACAAATAGTGTAGGGTGTTCATGCTCATAAAGCAATGCCAGGGATTTAGCTCAGTGGTTCCACCACTGCCTCAAAAGCACAAGGACACAAGTTTAATCCCTGGTACCACACACAAAAAAAAGGTATTAAATAAATAAATAAAGTAGCAATTTTAATTCTTACATTGGTCTATTTTAAAAATCAATCAAGGAGGAGCTGGGGATTTGGCTCAGTGGTTCTGCTGCCTGCAAGCACAAGGACCCAAGTTCGATCCTGGTACACACACACACACACACACACACACACACACACACACACACACAAAGTCAATCAAGGGGCCAGGGATTTGGCTCAGTGGTTCTGCCACCGGCCTCAAAAGTGCAAGGACCCAAGCTCAATCCCCAGTACCCAAAATAAAAAAAAAAAAAAAAAATCAATCAAATGTATTCTGACTACAATAGGAAAAACCATTTGATTTCATTAAAAAAAAAAAACATAACCATAACTGGACTAGGGCTATAGCTCATTGGCAGAGTACGTGCTTGGGATGAGCAAGAATGAATTCAATCCCCAGCAAAAAGAAAAAAAAAATCTATAATAGAATATTTTCAAAAAAGAATAAGATGAGATGCTTACTCTCTTGTCTGGACTGGAGTCAATAATTTTTCAGTTTTCTTTTCCTGTTCCAGTGAAGAACTGTTAAACACAAATAACAGAATATTTTAAAATAAATATTAATTTATATCTTATTCATTCTATCTGTAGGCAAGAAGGTCATTATTTTAACCTCAACATGTTTGTTTTTTCCATTGAACTTAAAAAATAATGTGCTCCAACCATCAATTTTTCAGACATGCCTGAGGAATTAGTACAGTGCAGGCTTAGCATAAATAATGCCCTGGGCTCAATCAATATCCACCTCAAAATATATGTGTGTGTATG